AACGGGACGTGATAAATCGATCCCCGAGAGGTCGATTTCTACCCGCCGATTCAGGCGGGTAGTGTAGACCCAGCCTAGGATTGGGCGGAATGCCGCCTCCAACAATCTGCCGCCCCAAGCACCAGCTTGCTCAGCTGGTGCCTGGAGCCGGCCCTGCTCGGGTCTGTGAGATTATTTTTTTAAATTCTGCAAGCTGAGGTAGAACTCCACAGAGAATTTAAAGGAGAAGAAATCTCGAGATTGAGATATATTAATGATTAAAAAAATACTAGCTGAATTAAATGGTCAGAGGTCAGATGACAAAGGTCATCTTAGGCACAAGTGATGTGGCTGCACTGAGAATGGGGGATGCCCCTGAGAGAAGAGGACATAAGAAAGCATAGTGTATAAGAATAGGATAGTATCCCTTTAAATATTTTGAGAACACTGTTGTGGTGCTCACTATATTAGAAGCCAGTGAGAGCAGCAGCGTGTAGGTGGCTAGGTCTGGTGTGTTTGTGTACATCGAGTAAACACAGTTATTTGAGACCCAGCTGTGCGCCCATGTGGTTTCTTTATATAAACTTTTGTTGTGTAAAGAGCAAAAAAGCACAACAGAAAAGGTGTGAAAAGAACAGAAAGAAACTCATCCTTTGCATGACAGGCGAAAGACAATATTCTGCTCCCCCTCACGCTGGTGCACAGATGAATAATCCTAGAGACGTACATTTGGTTCCCTGCACCGGGATGTAAACTGTGGTGCAAGTGATGCACCTGATTCCGTTCTCACTTACATGGGTGTAAATGGGGAGTCACTCCGCTGAAGTCAATGGTGTGGGTGGGAGCAGAGTTGGGTCCAGATGACACAGGGTTGGTCCGGAAGGAGGGGTAAGTGGCAAAGTGGAGTAACTTATGCCACTTTTTGGCACTCAGTGGGCGTGCAAGTCTGTGGGGCCCCAATTCAGACCTGAATAGTGAGCACAACTCCTATTAAACTGAATGGAGATTGTGTCTGCTTACACCAGACCTGAAGCTAACTCTGGGAATCTGGGTAATGGTGTAGCTGCACCTTCCCATTTACGTGCATGGGCAATGGCTGCTTTCTGAATGCCAGATCAGCGCAAGGTTTGCTACTTTGCCACTTACATGCACCTCGTAACACTTACACCAAAACTGATTTGACTCATGGGAGTTGTACCAGTTCACTCCAGCTTGCATTTGGCCCATGAAGGGCACTTGTGTCTATGCATCTGTAGGGTTACCATATTTCCACAAGCAAAAAAGAGGACACTGGGGGGGAGGAGCCCCGCTCTAGTCCCGCCCCTGCCCCGCCCCCATCCACTCCCCACCCCCTGATTGCCCATCCTCAGAAGCCCCCCCCGCTCCTTGTCCCCTGACTGCCCCCTCCTGGGACCCCTGCCACTAACTGCCCCCTA